CAAGGAAGAAAGGTAGGAGAGACCCCTCCTGCTGCCATGGGGTGCCTGGCAGGTCCTCAGGGGATTGTGCCAGGACCCCAGCACCCACCCTTCCTTCCCCGTGTGCCCCCACAGGGCCAACAGCAGCAAGGGCAAACCGGAGACACCGCGGACCCCCACCAGCCCCTCCTTCTCGCCCAGCCCCTGCCTCCTGGCCCCCTGCTATCTCACGGGGGACTCGGTGAGGGACAAGTGCATCGAGATGCTGACGGCCGCCCTGCGCATGGATACGGTGAGCGGGGGTGCTGGAGCCCAGATTGGGCACAGGACAGCTCTAATTGCAACCCTACAATAACAAGCGAGGCTCCGCATCCCGGGGTACTCACAGCTCTGTGACAGGGAACTCACCCTGGGCTTGCAAACTAACCATGAGCACAGCTGACAGCTCCGTGTTCAGCCCCAAAGATGAAAGGAAAAAGGGGTTGGCAGGGTCTCCCATAAGGAGTTGGATGGGTCATCGTAAAGTAGTTAATTCCAGGTTCAAATTGACTAAAAATAGGGGTTTGTTTTTCTTTTTTTAGAGATGAGGTGCCTGGGACAGGTTGAAGGGGAGAGGTGAAATTAATTTCTGGGGGGAGTTTCTCAGTGCATGGTGAGACCTGGCTGGTTTCGTGCTCAAAAGTCACCCCTTGGCCTCTCTACCCTTTAGATGACTACAAGGAGTTTGGTGTCAACTGCGAGAAGATGGCATCGGAGATCGAAGACCATATCCTTTGCCGGGGCTGGGGGTCCCCAGGCTGCGTCTGCGGGGGTTCAAGGCGGGTGATGGGGACAGGCAGGGACAAGGACAGAGGGTGACGGCTCTGCTGTCCCCGTTGCCTGCAGAGGGAGCCCAGACCTCGGCTAGAGGCTGAGCAGAGCATCCCCACAGCACTTGCCTTAGTGCCGCAGTCCCCCCCTCTGTCACCAAAACCTCACTTCTCGGGGACCTGACTTCATCCCTGGGGAAATAAAACTCAAATCCTGCCGAAGTCTCTGTTTCTGACCCTGCTGTGGGTGCCCGGTGTCTCTTGTCATCGCGGTGCCCAAGCTGACAGGGATGGAGCCACCTCCACCCACACTGGGGAGCAAAACCCTGTTGAGATCAGCCACCACCGCGTGCACATGGGCACGGAGGTGACAAATGACAGCAGAAGGTGCTCGCAGGGCTGGCACCCCCCCTCCCAGCCTTGCTCCTACGCTTCCTTGACGGCCCCCACATATCTACCAGGAGCTGAAGAGCACGGACATGAAATATCGCAACCGGGTGCGGAGCAGGATCAGCAACCTGAAGGACCCCAAGAACCCCGGCCTGCGGAGGAACGTGCTGTGCGGGGCCATCCCGCCCAGCCTCATCGCCCGCATGACCGCAGAGGTGGGCAGCAGGGTTGGGGGTGCAGGGCTGGCTCTTGTGGACCATTCAGGTCAGATATTAGGATGAATTTCTTTACTGGGAGGGTTGTCAGCCATTGGAACAGGCTGCCCAGGGAGGTGGTTGAGTCACCGTCCCTGGAGGTGTTTAACATTGTGTCCCCATCCCTGGAGGATTTAAGAGACGGGTGGATGTTGCTCTGGGGGACAAAGTTTGGTGGGTTGATAGGGCTGGGACAAAGGCTGGACTTGATGATCTTCAAGGTCTCTTCCAGCTGAAACTATCCTATGATTCTATGTCCATGCTGCCTCTGGAGGGGTGAGACCGCCCCAGACCTCTGCTCTTCGAGGCTGGGTTGGTGCCCAAGGGCTGGCAGGAGTCTTGGCTTGGTGGAATCCGTACTGGGCTTGTCCCAGCACTTCGCAGTCCCATCCTGGTGCTGGCTGGGGCACAGGGAGAAAGCAGGGGATGCTGCCCAGTCCTTCCAGAGCCCTGCAGCCCCCTAGCCCATCGCAGAGCCCGCAGAGTGGGATGTCACTCTGGCAGGAGTCAGGCTTGAGGATCTCCACTCCTCTTCCTCAACCGGGGTCCCCAAATCCAGCTGCTGGCAGCTCAGCCCCCTCCACAGGGAACCAGGTCCCTACAGGCAGCAGCTCCGGTTGGAGGGTGATTTTTTTTTTCATCTGGATGGGCTTGAGCCCTCCAGCAAGCAGAGAGAGCAGGATCAGTGCTGGTCCTGGATGAGGAGGGTGGACAGCACTGACCCTGCTGAGGAACGCCATGACCCAGGAGGCCATCCGCGAGCATCAGATGGCCAAGACGGGCGGCACCGTCACCGACCTCTTCCAGTGCGGCAAGTGCAAGAAGAAGAACTGCACCTACAACCAGGTCAGCCCTGCAAAGCCGCCGGCGCTCCCCCACCCATCCCTGGGGGACCCCAATTTGGGGGATGCCGGGGAGGGTCTCAGCTGCCCCGGCCGCCCGCTCCACCCCAGGTGCAGAGCCCATGACGACATTCGTGCTGTGCAACGAGTGTGGGAACCGCTGGAAGGTCTGTGCCCAGCTTGGGATGGGGCTTCAACCCTTCTCTGGCCTTTTCGGGGGGTGGCAGAGTCCCCCAAAATGGTATTGGAGGGGGAAGGAGCTGGATGAGGACCCACCACCCACCCCGGGCTCTGCTTCTCCTGCAGTTCTGCTGACGATGCCCAGCGCTTGGGCTGGAGGGAAAGCGCTGCGAGACGGATGCTGTGACGGTCACGCCGGGCAGACGGGGTGGGGAGGGAAGGTGACGGGGTGGCACCGGTCCCTGGACCCTGGCTCCTCAGTTTCCTTGCACTGGGCTCCCTCAAATGTCCTGGGGATGACAGGAGCGTTTGCTTGAGAAGACCCCGATGAATTTAAACGTTTCCTCCCTGGAAATACCTGCCCTTTGCTTGGGGGTGCGCTGGGAGCCCACTGGGAGCCCCCAGAAAGGGAAACTGGTCTGAGCTGGGACCTTTCCCTGGGTGAAACCTGGACTTGGATGATTTGAAGGCAGAAGGGACGTTGCCCCATGGACGTGGGGCGGTGCCACTGTCCTGGGGGTGGGAAAGGGACAGGTTTTAACCCAAATACCTTCTTCCTCACCTAAGTGCACGCAGTGGGAGGACATGGAGGGAGACAGGGTGTTTTCAGCCACCGTGTCCCTCTGCTCAGTGACACGTGGACCAGCCATCCTGGCTTGAGGACACTGTGATCCCGGGAAAGAAGAAGGGATGGGGAGGAGAGGAGTGGGGGAAAACCCCTCCAGCTAGAGCAATAAAGATATAAACTGTCTCTGTGGCACAGAGTGGTTTTTGAAGGAAGGGTGGGACCGAAGCCTCGGTTCACACTCCCCTGGCTCAAGCCTTGTGATCCTCCAAGAGCCCTCATCCAGCTTCAGCACGTGTTTGAATCCACCAGCCCGCAGCTTGGGATGTACCGGTGCCTTGAAGCCATCCATCACCTGCCTGGTGGTTTAAGACCTTTAATTAAGGCTGGAGCAGCTCCCCTTGGCTGGGTTTTCCGGGAAAAGAGCATCGGGGATGGTCCAGGAGATGAAATTTTCACTACCAGGAGGTGCAGGATGGAGCCTCGTGGCACTGAGTGTGTCTCTCACTGGCACCAGCCTCTCTGCTCAGAGGCAGCGAGACGTGACAGGGACACAGGTAGGGTCACGGTGGTGATCGGTGACCGTGGATGGAGATGAGGGTGCTGCCCTGTGTGACCCGACGGGCAGGAGCGGAGGAAATTTTTTTCCCCAGACAGCTCAGGGCAGTTTGCACCCACATTTAGGTGCTAACCCCTCCGTCTCCGGGGGTCCCGGTAGCCCAGGGAAGGGTCAGACACCCCTGAGCAACCCCCTCCCCCAAGTGTCGGGCTACTTGTTAGCATGGCAAAGTCATTAATAAGCTTCCAAGGCAATTATTTACACTTGCAAAGTGTGTGTGTCTGCAATTAAGGAATAGAGCGGAGGGTGGGGGATGAATAAAACATCAACCTGACCTTGCACGAGAAGGAACACCCGGGATGGGCACCTCCATGCCAGCAGCGCACAGGACCAGTGAGTGCTCCTGTGCCATCCCCAGGCTGTGACAGGACAAGTTTGGGTGGGGTGAGGCTGAACTGGGGGGATTTGGACCTGTATTTTTTGTAGTGCTGTCCGGTAAAGGTGCCTGGGCAATACCAAATCACAGAATCACAGAATGTCAGGGATTGGAAGGGACCTCTGAAGATCATCTAGTCCCCCCTTCATCCCAGCACACCCAACCACTACACCACAGGAGGTTTTCAGGAAAACATTAGCAGTCATAAAGCTAAGGAAAGCTGCCAACACCACAACAGTTATAACTGCTTTACGTTTCCCCCTCTCTGTCCCAGATTAATTCCATCCATATGCCATCTTGGACAACTGTCCTACATCCTTTCTTACAGGAGAATAAAACCAGCTAATTCACAGTAAACTGTTATGTTATTTGCTGTTCTCTGTGTACATATCTGCTTTTGTACATACATGTTTCTACTTAGTGCACAAGCAATAGATATTTTATGAAAGAATGAAGAAATGCCTCAAATTCTTTGGACTGGAGACACCAAGTGTATCAGGTGCTGGCCCTCGGGAACAAGACATTGCCACAGATACATTACAAGGGTAACTGTGAACTGACTGAAGTCCATTGACCTCCATCCCAAAGAGAGGGCAGTGGAAGGAATTTGCTAGTAGATACAAAGGGGACAGTCACTTCCCTGCTCCTGCTGGCCACATCATTCCTGATACAGGCCAGGAGGCTGTTGGCCTTCTCGGCCACCTGGGCACAAATGCTTTGTGACAGAGCTCCTGGCATCCATCTGTGCCCCAGGGAATATGTCCTCAGGAGAAATGTCACCCTGTGCACCCCACCAGGCCCCCTAAGAAATTCCAGAGGAGGAGAGCAAGGCAAATTGGAGAGCCAGCAGCACCCCACC